GGGATGAGATTTTGACAATTTTTTGTTGAAAAACCATTGGTTTTTTGCAACAACAACAACAACATCAACAACAACAACAATAACAACAACAACAACAACACCACCACCACCACCACCAACAACAACAACAACAACAACAATTACTAGCACGTGGGGACACTCCGTTCTCACCAGTGCCAGGGTTTTCATAGGAGGCGGGCAATACCCCCACTTTGTGGGGGGGCCGGTTCAAGCTCTACCAAATTTCCAAACGACTCTTCGCCACCACCCACACCCAGCTTCCCGCCCTATGACGTTCGGACACTTCACTTCGTGGCATGCGGACGACCGTGGCTACTATTCAGGGCCCCGCGGCCGACGACGACGGCGTGCGCGCGCGAAGAAAAAACGAATGTGTCCCGCATGGTATTATTTGACAGGGATGATGGCCCTGGCAGGTGCGCAACCGTTGTTGCAGAAGTTCGAAAAAGTTGCTCGCAAAAGCCCGTTTGACAGAAATGTTTAAAAAGTGTTGGGTTTCCTACGAATCCGCAAGAGCGCGCGGGATGAAATTTTGACATTTTTTTGTTTGAAAAACCATTGGTTTTTTGATGTTTTTATGTTAAAATCGCTACGAACACTAAGGTTTTGGAAGGATTTCGTCTTGCGCGCGCGAATGTCCACTTTACCTTATTTTTTGCAAGGGATTCTTGAAGTTTGGTTATGTTAGAACAAGAAATGTCCACTTTAGCTTATTTTTTGCAAGGGAAAACGGGGGACAACAAAACAACCGGATCTGGACCACATCGTTTTGCCTGAGACTTCCTCACGAAAATGATGAAAATGAGGCTGCGGCCTAGGCGCGGCGGGGGGGTCGTGCACCAGGGGTCCCAACAATAATTATTCTTAAGAAGAAATAATGTTCAACAACAACAACAACAACAACAACAACAACAACAACGAGAACCCGCACCGCGGAATTCCACTTCAGCCACGCACCCAGGGACAGTGAATGACCGTTCGGCCCCCTCACTCTGATGTTGAGGCTCGGGCCAGATTCGGGTGCGACGTATGTGTTGGGAGGGCGGGTGGGAGTGAGCGAGATGGCTTGCGGGCGGGGAGGGGGTATTGACCCTTCCCCCTACCCCCCCCCCTGGACTTGGACGGGGGGTTTCGCGACGCGTTGGAGCGTCCAAAACGGCCTCGGCAAGGAAGCCAAACCCATTGGTTGTACTATGTACGGTTTTGGCCCCATTTTGGCCTCCTAATGGGGGGGGACCCTAATTCGGGACCCCCCTCCTGTGATCGATCTCACCCAAGATAACCCAAACATGGCCCCCAAGACTCCAAAGGGTGCCCCAAGGGGGCCCCAAGAGGTGGCCAGGAAGCCCAAAGAGGCCCCCAGGATGCCCCCAAGAGGCCCCCAAGAGACCCCCCAGAGGCCCCAAGAGCCAGGGGCACCCAAGATGCTCCAAGAGGCCTCGGCGAGAATGCCAAATCACTGATTCTACTAAGGTTTTAGCCACATGTTGGCCTCTTGGGGGGGGCACGGATTAAAATGACTCCAAGAGCGCCTGGGAGAGCCCAAGATGACCTCCAAGATGGCTCAAGATATCCCAAGATGTCTCATAATGGCTCCCACGATGCTTCAAGATGCCCCAAGACCGCTCCAAGACGACTCCAAGTGGCCAAAGAGCTCCCCCAGGAGGCCCCGAAGAGGCCAAAGCCTTATGAATATCTGTGTGTGTGTGTTTGGTTTTCTCGCCTTTTCGCTTCCGATGGCCATCCGAGGCCTCCAAATGGTTGCAAGATGGCCCTACAGGGCCCCAAGAGAGGCTCAAGAGAGCCCCAAGACGCCCCAAGAGCGCCTAAGAACGCTCCAAAAGGGCCCCAAGAGGCGATGTCTTGGGCTCCCGAGGGGCAACGCTAACTAATGTTCGCTTCTTGTTTGATCGATGTCCTCCAAGATGGCCCCAAGAGCGCTCCCAAGGCTCCCAAGAGCGCTTCAAGAGGGCCCCAATAGGCACCCAGGAGGCCCCAACAGGTGCCCAAGAGGACTCCAAGTTGCTCCCAAGAGACCGCCACGAGGCCCCAAGAAACTCTCCGAGGCACCCAAGACGCTCCAAGAGGCCTCCACTGGGTGGCCCTTCCTCTGTGTGCTGTCCACTTCCCTGATCGAGGCAATTCCTCTGGGCATCGTTTCTGGATGGGCTGGTGGTGTTACTTTTTTGGTCGCGGCCGCGAGCGAAGAGCGCAGGCGGCGAACAGGGTGTCCGGGCCGACAGGCAAGCCGAATTAGCTGCAAGACGCGCCGCTAGCCGGCCGGCCCACTCACTAAGCAGCCGCGGGGCTGTCGGGGAAGCTGACGGCAGGGGACATCCTGGGAAGCTCGGGCGCGTGCAGTCTGACAAAATGTAGAGAAATTCGCTGCCTGCCGTGAGGCACAACCCACACAGCGACATGTCGTGCACCGGGGCGGACGTGCCCGTCAAACTGGGTGGGGGCAGGCGCGAAGCCCGATGAGCGAGTCGCCAATGGGGCGCCAGGCCCAATCCGTCCCAACGACGTGTGCTGGCTAGGGGAGCTGAAGTGCCGAGGAACGTGGAACGTCGCGAACCTGCCGGAAGAGGGGGGATGAGCCCGGGGTGCTGTTGCGGCTGCGAAATGCTAAACCACTCCGGCGCTGTCACAGCACCCGAAAGTCCACCAGACAGTGCACGTGGTAGGCCCGGACGACCGCGAGCCGGCCCCGTCGACAACGGCACAGCGCCAGGCCAGATGGACTAGAGGAGAAAGCCAGGCAGGCATGGTGAGCATCGCCAGCGAGGCACGGGGATCCAGAGGGGTGCTGCACAGGGGGCACCGCAGCTGCCGCCTGTAGTACGCCGAAGGCCACCAAGGGGCGGCCTTATCCTCCAAGTACACGAAGCTGGCTATACCTCCAGGGGCGGTGTGTGGCGTGTGTCCAAGCAAGTGGGAAAACCGTTGCTAGTAGGGTGGGGCGACCTGGGTGAAGCTGCGCTGTAGCAGCCGCGCGGGGCCGACGGCCACCGTGGGCCGACCTTGTCCGCCACTTCCGCCCTTTCCCGCGGGAGTCCAGGGTCGCCGTCAACCACACACCACGTGGGCCTCCAGAGTCGCAGCTAACCGCCGCTGAAAGTGAGGAAACTTACCACGGACAGCGGAGGTCTAGGGCGGCCCTGGGGAGGGGGGGCGAAGCCATCGATGCCAGTCGGCACGCCTGGCGAAGCCCCGCCAGTAGAAGGCCTTGGGGGAAGGGGGGGGATAGACGCGACCGACCGCTTCCACAGGGGGCCACCGAGGGGGTCGCCCGGTGAGGGAAACGCAAGGAAGCGAGCCCCGAGGGCCAAGGGCGGGGGACACCCGCCCGGCCCGAAAGGGGCCCGAGGGGAGAGGCGAGGAGGAAGCACCCCAACGCCCCTCGAACGGGCCCCAGATCTGCCTGTCAAGGGACACGGCCGCCATTCTCGAGAATCCTCCAGGGTCGCAGCTAACCGCCGCTGAAGTGCAAATAGTAACGAGTGATAGGTCCTTCGCCCGGTGTGGTCCAGAGTGGACATCCTGCCACGCTGAATGCTGGTCTGCCAACGCGGAGACTGGCACCTCTGTGGGGACGGTGTGCGTTGGTTCCTCCAGGGTCGCAGCTAACCGCCGCTGATGTTCGGGCGCCTGCGGTGTGACAAAACTGCGACCTAGCTAGGTCGAGCTCGCCGCCAGGCAGTCGGGGGGGATGCTGGGGCCCACCTCCTGCCCATGGCCCGCGAGCCGGCTGTCGTCATCGGACAGCAAAGTCTGGGAGCCAGGGGGGCCTGCTTGCGCGAGCCAGGCGGGCCCCGCCGTGCCAGTGAGGGTGAGATGTCGGGTGCAAGTGGGGGGCCCCCCGGTGTCAGGCCCGAAAAGGTGGATGGTGGTCCACTTATCCAGCGTGGGCTGTCTAGTTAAGCTGCGCCGTGGGTGAGATGTGGAGTTGAGCCTTCGCCTCAGCGGAGGGTGGCCCGGGGTATTACGGCCTGAGCCGGGCGCAGCAGGGTGAAACAAGCCCCTTCGGGGCAACGGGTGGCTGGAGGTGGGTCGGAGCAGGTGTCCATGGGCAGGTCCCTGCTATGGGCGTCGAGGTAGGCCGTGTCGGGAGCACGTCAGCCTTGGGTGTCGGAGTCACTCCAGCGGGCCCGCTTGTCCGAGTCGCGGTCGTCCCCTCGTGGGGAGTATCGTTTGCCCCTGCCTTTCCAGTCAGAGTCCGTCCATGGGGTATCTCGCCGCTCCCACGAGGTCCACTCTTGCCAGCCCCGCCACTGGCTGGGGGTGGTAGTTCCAATGGCTCCAGCCCAGGGGTCCTGTGCAGCTGCATGCGCGAATGCTCGGCTCTCGGCAGTCCAGGGAGCCGGCTTGTCGCGGCTGCAGTACGCGAAGCGTCTAGAATTCCCGCCTCGGACGCTGGCCAGGGGGGGCCCCAGCGCCGATCCAAGAAATCCGCGCGGACCTCCCAACAGTCGGGTTTATGCAGTTCTTGATGCCCCATCCCAGCGCCGACCCGAGAAATCCGCGCGCACCTCCGAGAAACTGCTTGCTGATGCCTCGCTGTGCTCCTCGAGGAAGTTGGGGGCGGAGGCGGCCGAGGTGGCGGCCGACGCGGCCAGAGGCCCCTCGCCGCCGCGAGGCGGAGGGCGCCGGCCGAAATGGCGGCCACTGGACCCCTCCCTGGCGCTGGGAGCGCGCCAGGGGCCGAGGCACCGCCAAAGAGGCCGCGGCCGCGGCCAGCGGCGACGCCGGGAGAAGTGAGCAGGAGACGACGACGACGACGACGACGACGACGACGACGACGACGACGACGACGACGACGACGACGACGACGACGACGACGACGACGACGACGACGACGACGACGACGACGACCACGCCGCCGCCGCCGCCGCGGCCGCCGCCGACGACGACGACGACGACGACGACAGCGACGACGACGACCGTGACGACGACGGCGGCCAGCAGAGCGCACCGGGCGCCTGCAGCTCGGACACCTCCACGGCGCGCACGCCGGCGCCCGCCAGGCGCGCCAGGCCGCCCAGCGCCACGCCGCAGCCTGAGAGCGCCGGCGACGCGGGCGCCCCGCCGCGCTCCTGGGCGCCGCCCAGACACTCGGAGAACTTCGTCCTCGTCCTCGTCCTCGTCCTCCTGTTCCTCCGCCTTTTCCTCCTCCTCCTCCTCCTCCTCCTCCTCGTCCAGGTCCTCCTCCTCCTCCTCAAAATTTTCCTCCTCCAGCTCCTCCTCCACTTCTTCCTCCTCCTCCTCCTCCTCATCCTCCTCCTCATCCTCAGCCTCATCCTCATTATCATATCATCCTCCTCCTCCTCCTCCTCCTCCTCCTCCTCCTCCCCCTCCCTCCTCCTGCTCCTCCTCCTCCTCCTCCTCCTCCTCCTCCTCCTCATCATCATCATCATCATCATCATCATCATCATCATCATCATCATAATCTTCATCATTATCAACAACCTCATCAGCATCATCAGATTCATCATCATCATCATCATCATCATCATCATCATCATCATCATCATATGCATCATCATCATGATCATCATCAGCAGCATCAGCATCATCATCATAATCATCAGCACCATGAATATCATCGCCATCATCACCGTCATCATCATAATCATAATCTGCATCATCATCCTAACCCTGATCATCATCAGCATCATAACCATCATCATCAACATCATCATCAGCACCATCATCATCATCACCAGCATCACCATCATGATCAACATCGCCACAATCGTCATAATCATCACCACCACCATCATGATCATCATCATCAACAAAACCATCATCATCAGCATCACGATTGACGTCAACATCATCATCAGCAGCAGCAGCATCATCATCATCATCATCATCATCACCACCACCACTAGCAGCATTACCATTACTACCAGCAGTATCTTTATCATTATCATCATCAGCATTATTAGCATCATCATCATCAGCATCATCATCATCATCATCATCAGCACTATCATCATCAGCACAATCATCATTATCATCATCATCCTCGTCCTCGTTCTCGTCCTCGCCCTCCAACACCTCCTGCTCCTCCTTCTCCTCATCCTCCTCCTCATCATCATCAAACCATCACCATCATCATCAGCATCATCATCATGATCAACATCAACATCATCCTCATTATCATTACTACCACTATCAGCATTACCACTGTCATCGTCACCATCATTATGATCATCGTCATCATCATCTTCACCATCATGATTATCATTGGCATCATCATCATCATCAGCATCATCATCATCATCATCGTCACCATCATCATCATCGTCATCGTCATCGTCAACATCATCATCAGCACTCTCATCATCATCATCATCATCATCATCATCATCATCATCATCATCAGCATCAGCATCATCATCATCATCATCATCCACGACCTCGTCCTCGTCCTCGTTCTCGTCCTCGTCCTCCTGTTCCTCCTGCTCCTCCTCCGCCTCCTCCTCCACCTCTTCCTCCTGCTCCTCCTCCTCCGCCACCTTTTCCTCCTCTTCCTCCTCCTCTTCCTCCTCCTCCTCCTCCTCCTACTCCTCCTCCTCCTTCATTCCTCTATCTCATAGAAAGCTTTTCCCTGTCGCACCCCGAAGCCGATCGAAAGGGCGGGCTGGTCATGTCGCCTGAGATTATGTCACCGCTAATGACCCTGAAGCCTAAACATTGGCAACAGCTTCGCAGATGGAGGGCGGGCCGTTTTCAAAATGTGGTTTTCGCCTTAGCGCCGCGCACATTCGTTTAACACATTGCAAGCTTTTCGCGGATTGAGGGCGGTTCGTTCTCAAAATGCGGCTCTCGCCTTAACGCCGCGCACACTCGTTTTAACACGTTGCGAGCGCACCCTCCCAATTCTAAACTTGCAAGCGTTTCACGGAAACGTGCCAGAAATTCTGTTCTGGAAAGACTCAAGGTTATGAGGGCGCAACAGCTACGTTGATTCGCGGTGTTGAAATCCCAGGAACGGCGTTCTGGCACGACTCAGGGTCGTCAAAGACGCAACAGTCAAGTTGATCCACGGCATTGGAGCCCGAGAATAATGTTTTGGCATGCTTCAGGGTCTTCAAACGGCTGTCTCCCAACGAGGCAGTTCACTCATTGGAGATGAATCCTGGTAGGGGCCTGTGAAGAATAAGCTTGGAAGGAGGGTTTATTACAGCATCGTTGATGATTTTTGGGTTTACACTGGTCCTCGTCGTCCTCCTCTTCCTCCACCTCCCCCTCATCCTCCTCATCCTCCTCATCTCATGCTCCTTTCCATCCTCCGCGATAAGATTCCCATTATGGGCTTCCGGAGGCATCGAAGCTCGATCATGGCCCCCTTGTCTCCTAATCGAGCGGATGGGGTCGGAGGATCGCACCGCACCGTCGATGCATCAGAGCCCCGCCGCGCTCCCGGGTGCCGCCCAGAGGCTCTGAGATCCAAGACTCCCCCGGGTCACGAAGTACTGAGGACGGACATGTTGCGTTATTTGCGGCCTCTCGGGGGTCTTCCGAACCGTCAAAGCACGGCTCGGGATGAAAAGCTGGTCTACACGGAGGTCCACGTCAGGGACCTGGGATCTGGGAACCAGACAAGAATTCAAACTTTCGGAGCGAGTGCCAGTCTGACTCTCCAGAATCCAGACCAGTGGCCCGTCGCAGCGACGATTCAAAAAAACGGCGAGGAAGGATGGACACTGCCCGGGTTCTGTGGCACAAACAAGGAAAGCTCAGAGACATTCCCCGCTCTGGTTCCGTGCTCGCTGGCCGACGTCGCGCGGCAGCCAGGGGCAGGGAACTGTGGGCGGGGGCCCGGCACAGACCGTGCCCGGCGCGCGCTCATGCCGCGGCGCTGATCGTGCCTTCCAGCCAGGTTCGCTCCCGGAGTCCCCCGCTCTGCATCTTGAACACTGCCGGCCTAGCCGCTCGCCTTCGGCACTCTTTGGTGGGCGGGTGCCGGCGGGCGTAGCTGGCCGGGCGGCGCCGTGCTGACGCGCAGCTGGAGAGCGCCCGCGCGCCGTGCTTCGCGGGCACACAGACGCGGTCAATCCAACTATTCGCGGCAGTGTGACTCTGATGGCTGGTGCTTGCCAGTCGCGGCTGTTGACTGGTCGTCGCGTTGGCCTGGCGAACGCCGAGCAGCAACGGCCCGGCGCGTGCTGACTGAACGCAGCCAAACGCAGCGCAGTGTCGCAAGTGTCTATCTCGGCTGTTCGTGGCTGTCTCTGTACAGCATAGATGTCGGCGGCCAGTGCCGCATCCGACATCGCACACCGTCTGTCGGTGGCACAGCGTGGCCAAGGCGACAGGCCACCGCGACGCATGCCGCCTGATTTGCAGAGGCGCGCGCAGCAATGCAGCACTAACATTTGCAGCGGCGCGTTGTCGCGCCGCCATTTTGAAATGCAGGCGGTGCTGAAGTGCCAGAACCGTGCACCTGCGCGCAGCGCGTGTTGAGCGCCCGACGAACTGTGGCCGCCAGAGCTTGGCGGCCCGCCAGCTGATCGCCCACTGCGGGCGCGCCAGCTGTCTCGCGACGACCGCGCCATTGCCCGCGCTGCGCTGCCGCGCTGAGAAATGAGAAAGCCCTCGCAGCTGACGCGGGCTGGCCAGCCACTGATGGTAGTGAACGGCTTCTCGGCGGCGGTCGCGTCGAACGCGGCCTGCGGCGAGCGCGCGGCCGGGTCGCCCTCGGGGCGCTCGTCGCAGCGGCGCCGCCGAGCGTCCTGCAGCCGGCGCGCCTGATGCTGGCGCGCTCGCGCCCGTCGGCGCGCGGCGGCGGCAGTCGAGGCGCGCGCATCCACGCTGCGCGAGGAGTTCAGGAGTAGATGCTGCGCCAGATGGACGCACGAACATTTCCACCGATCCGTTGTGGGCGCGGCGAGATCCGCGCTGCTAGCTGCTGGCGGCCCCGTGGCGCGCGGTGGCGGGGTGCAAGCAGGAGTATTTGCCCGGGGAAATAGAGTCGTGCGCAACCGCAGCGGCCGCGTCGTTCTGCGTGGCGTAATCGGGCTGCTGGCGGTAAGCCTGGTAGCTGATGCCGCGAGCTGCGCAACTCTGGGCGCGACCTCACCGATGGCGCTCCGGGGCGGCACTGCCGCGCGAGTCGACGCAATAGTGCGCGACCGCCCGCGCGAGGGCGCTGTCGCGGCGGCGCGCAGGCAGCGCGCTGGCGCGTGTCGGCGCCAAGCCGCGTAGGACGGTCTCCAAGACCTGGCACCACCGCGCGCCGAAGCCGCACTGGCGCGCCAGACCCACCCTCGGCAGACCCTGAAGCTTCTGACTCCAGCTCAACAAGAATATCCGCCATAGGGCCCCCTTCCTCCACGAAAGCAATCTCGTCGGCAGCAGCGCGAGGGCGCGTCGCAGCCAGCGCGCGCGACGCGAGCGGCGTCGGGCCCGAGGAGTGGTGCCGCCTGGCGCACTGCTGCACCGCGGCGACGGCTTCCACTTTCCCCAAATTCAGGGGCGCCCGCGTCTGCAAGCGGCGACTTGGGAGTTGCGCGACGCCGCGGCTCTCCGTCGCGACCGCGGAAGCAATGTCCTCCAAGATCTTCGCGGCGTCCGCGATGATCTTGAACTCGGCGTCCTGGCCAGCCACGACGCTTCGCAGCCCGCTGCCATCCGCGCGCGCTCGTTCTCGGCGCTCTCCCAGACGGATTTCGCGTCGGCGAGGCGGAGCCGGCGAGCGAACCCTCCCGGGATGGCGAAACGCGGCCATCCCGGCGGCCCTTTGCTTCGTTCGCCCTGCAGAATGCATGCCGGCGCGGGCGAGCGAGCTGTTGCGCTGAGCATGTGCCAGCAGCGATCAGACAAGCTCACCTTCTGTCAAGAATCCCGTGAGACGCGGAAGCACGTTCACCTACGCGTTGGCGATGCGCGCGGTTCTGGGCGCTGAACTCGCCGCGGCGCGGCCCCCTCGTCTCCCGCGCGAAGGGGGGGGAAGGGTTCTGTGGCAACGCCCCAAGCGAGGGCAGCCCGCTGCAACAGCGCGCGCGCGCGCAGCGGCGCATTCCGCCTATCCTGCAACCGCGAGGCTGAGCGGGCCGCAAGACGGCGGCGCGCGCGCTACATTTGC